TTTGTTCTCTCTCTAATTCTTTTTCATATTTATATCTTTCTCTCTCATTCTTTTTTATCTCTTATTTCTCTCACTACAATCTTACTCTACGAGCCAATTTGGACACAGCCAAATATCCCAGTTAGGGAGAGAAAGAAGAGAAAAAAAAATTAGAGAAAAGAAGAGATAAATATTAAATAAGGAGAAAAGGTTGCCGTATAACATGGATTAGTTTTTACGGTGGTAAAATGGGTTTTAGTTGTTACGGTACTTAAAGTACCGTAATTGGCGTCCATAGTTTTACAGTACTTAAAGTACCATAATGCTAATTGAAGTTATTGGTATTACTGTACTATAAGTACCGTAATATATTTTCAAGGTATTACGGTACTCGAAGTGCCGTAATTCTATCAATGCCTTTACGGTAGAGAGACTACCGTAAAAGGCATTTTCGTCCAAAAAATAGCAAAATTTGGGAAAAAGGGTATGGGCAAGGTTTTGGGAAGTTTGGTTTTTTTTTTTCCAATTTTGTTAAAATTAAGGTATATTAGCGATAATTTCGCTATATTTAGGGACCTGTCACTCTTTCAATATCAACAAATTAAATATCTATTGTACAAAACGAGAAAGGAATGAAAGCAAACTATAGATAGCTACAATAACATCAAGTAAATTTCTGAAAAATAAAATACAATAAATCTTCATTTTTACAAATCTATTAAAATTTTGTCATGGAGAAGTGGTTTTGTTTCCTCAGTGAGAGCATTCTCTCTCACTTGGCTATGTTGGATATTCAGATCAAATATAAACAGTGATGTTAGAGAATGACCCACCTCACCTCAAGGATCATATCCTATCTTGGAGGGCGCATTGGACCATAGCATACCCACACTCATTGAATTTTACTAAGGGGCATGATAGATCGTTTTGTCATATCTGCTTGGACTTATGTGATGTTGCATGAGAAAAAGACGAAAGAATCTCGATTTTGTATGGTTCAAAAGGGATTCCAGTCCTTATTTTGTTTGTTATTATCCTTCTAAAGATGTATATGCAACAAATGTCAAAACAAAAACTTGTGAACTGATCATTGTTGTCCAATGATATATATTTTTAAGTAGAAATACACAATTACGAAAAATTGCCATGGTACAATAGCCAAGATTATACAAGTTCAGAAACAATGATGTTCTTAATTTTTTGCTTTTTTTGAATGCCACAAAAAACATGGACTTGTCATCAAAAAGATAAATTGTGTCGAAAGTCAAACGTTTATAAAATCGTTTGCCCTATCAAAACTAAAAAATCAAAGATAGTCCCCCTCCATCTATGTTCATTCTCATGTCCCTAACAACCCATAGTGTAAGAATTCACTAAGTTGAGATTTAAAGCTACAACCCATATTCTGTAGGATGCTCCAGAATATGCAGCCACATAGCGCATGGCACATGCAGTGCAACGTTGTGGGTGAAAACAACCTCCCAAAAAGACGTAGTTAAGTAATTTTGCTCCCAGAAAGGGGGAGAAAGGTTTGGGGGAATCTACCCAAACCGCAATAATGCCATGCATTAATCAACTACATACACCTTTGATAGTCTTTTAATTTGGCAATTTTTAAATTTATGTGGATATGTTTTTCTTCGCTTTTTTTTTTGCCTAGATATTTCAGTGGTAGGAATCGAACTTGAGATGTGGCACTAACCACTCAAGCCCAAGCCCAAGCCCAACTCCTAGACAAACCAACCAACCAAAGATAGTCCTACAACATCTGTGCTCATTACTAGTCCCCATGTAGAAGGAATACAATAAGTTGAGATTGAACCTACATACCTGCAATCCACAACAAAGTTGATGGAGACCACGTCGTCCTCAATGTAGCCCAAGATTCCCTTCAGCTTACCCTCAGACTCCTTACAAATACAAAACCACCACCAATAATAGGTAATTATCCGCGTATATGAATCCACAAAGGAAGAAACCTAAGAAATGAGAAACTTAAGAAACTATGTTATCACATACAAGAAATTTCAGTATCCCCAACTTAGTTTTACCACCTAGAAAGAACTCTTACCAGTAGATCTATTGCATAGGCTATTATAGGCAAACTCAGTCTGAGGCAGTGCTAGATCCCATTGTTTCTTCTTTTACCAATAGATCTATTGCACACGCTATTATAGTCTGCAGATGATAAGCACTACTAAATTGTAACCGAGTGCCCAATTTCTTCCACAAAGTTACCCAAAAATGGCTGAGAAACTTCGTATCCCGATTTGAAGTTATCGTCTTTGGAACACCATGCAAACCTCACCACCTCTTTGAAGTACAAGTTAGCAACATTTGTGGCATCCAGAGTCTTCTTGCGAGGTATAAAATGAGCCATCTTTGAGAATCTATCCACCAATATGGATATAGAATCCATACCACTTTGAGTCTGCAGAAGTTCCAGAAGAAAATCCATGCTAACAACCTCCCAAGGTGCATTAGGAATAGGAAGTGGAGCGTAGAGCTCTGTATTTTGTCGTTGCCCCTTAGCCAGTTGACACGTATGACACCTCTCAACAAACCGTAGAACATCTCTCTTCATTTTTGGCCAATAGAACTTAGACTCCACCAATACTATAGTTTTGTCTCGACCAAAATGTCCACCAAGACCTTCCCCATGGAGCTCTGCTATTAGGGTTTCTCTAAGGAAACCTATAGAAATACAAAGATGGTTTCCTTTGAAGAAAACTCCATCTTGACTAAAAAAATCCCCAACAACTTCACTGTAACACTGGTCCCATATCCTCCCTAAAGTCGTCATCATCTGCATAAAGATCCTTCATAAACTCGAACCCAGTAATAGCAGTCACCATGGTAGTTAATAGAGTCGACCTTCTACTCAAAGCATCTGCTACTCTATTCTGACTGCAACAACCCATATGGTATGGAGCAGTCTTACTCTCAAAATCCCATAAATTTCTCTGTAGTAATTTATCTAGAAAGAAAAAATGGTGATGAGAGATTAGGATGCATCTAAGCTTGCTATGTGTACATAAAAGAATCCATATGTGCATTGCATGTTCTTTCTTTCTAAGTTGTAATTCAGGTTAATTCTTATAAGTATGGAATGAATATCTTATCTTATAACTGATACTTGTAAGCTTAACCAAATTTGGTGAAAGTGAGGTGGGGTTAGAGGAAACAGAAACACCTTCATAAATTTATTGGAATTCCAAATATCTGAGAAACTATCTAATATGACTGGCAACAGCAAAACTCTAGGGGTCATTGAGAATATTTAGGAATAGGGTTTGTTTGTTTCCATACCTGCACAACACAAATGGTCTTGAGATGAATGGGGGAATTACGAGGCAGCCTAATGCGGTCGATCTCGTAGAAGCAATTCAGCGTTGTTCCTGGCACATACATTACCACCTCATGCTTAACACTCGAAACTGATAAATAAATAAAAAAAAAGAAAAAAGAACAAAAAAAAACCAAAGAAGAACATTTTCTCTCACAACAAATATAATGAAACACAAATAAGAAATTACCACATCACTTGCAATTGGAATGTTCAGTTGACAGAAGCATCATTGGACAAGGAGATTTGAGGATCTGGTGGATGAGGTGAAGCCAACTTGCTCTGAATGATGTTTGGTCGCTCATGACAAAGGCGGATCTGTATCCAATTGCAGTTATAATTCACCTCATAACCAAAGGAGAGGTAACCTCGTTGTGTGAGAATAATTTTTTTTGTGGTCTTAAATAGACAGACCATAGAGAAACCCTTATCTCATCAAATTATCACTGCACTTAGCAACTTGCCGCTAAACTGAGGCAATTTCAACGAGTGCAAATGGATGAAATTAGGCAATTCTAGTATGTTTAAGTGATTGAATCGAGCATATCACAATTACTCCATCAAACATACAGCGACCATGTCCTTGAGTTGTTCTCATAACAGTTTACGTACTCGTCGGCACAGCAGTGCAAAACCAACACCCAGAAAGGAGAGATCCGAGACCGATTCAATAACGACAACCCGCCGATCATGCTGGTCGATCAACAAGAGGAAAACATCCGAGATCACCATCAAGTAAGGGAAAGGAACAAGGGGCCTTTCCAGCCCTAACCACGTCAGTACTCAGAAGGGCAGCACCTCTACACAAAGTAGGGGCCATCTCTACTACACCAAAGTAGGAGGGAATGTTTTTTAATTCCATAAATCAAAATAACATCAATAACAGCGTCTGTACAGTACATTTAAACCCAGTTGCGGACCCTTGATATTAACCAAAATACCTCTAACAAAATAGTACAATGACCAACCTACCCTTATATCCTATTCCCCATACAATTAAATCAACATACGTGAAACCTAGTTCCCATTTTGCAAGTCCCCATATATTTAACCAAATTCTCAAGCAAAATAATAGATACCATAGATAACCCAAAAAAGATGATAATCATGGGCCACCCTTTCATTAAATTGAGATACAATGTCAGTTTTTCTTATGAAAATAGTATCCCCCATATAACTAAAGTTCGTACCAGAACCCTCTAAATCAATCCAATGTGATTTCTCTATTCCTCTTTTTTCTTTTCACCATACCATCTAATATTGGAGCAGGCCCGTTCCCAAAGCACATGAGCATTTGCTCTAAGTTTGCTCGATGGCGGTTAGAGAGGTCAAGTTCATGGATGTGGTGGTGACAAAGTTATATGTGAGGGAATAAAATGATCTAATGAGAATTGAGCAAGTGGTGTACGAGGGATGTAAAAAAGGTCAAATCAAAGGAGATTTGAGGATCTCGTGGATGAGGTGAAGCCAACCCGCTCTGAATGATTTTTGGTCGTTCATGACAAAGGTGGATTGTATCCAATTGCATTTATAATTCACCTCATAACCAAAGGAGAGGTAATCTCGTTGTGCGAGCATAATTTTTTTTGTGGTCTTAAATAGACAGACCATAGAGAAACCCTCATTTCATCAAATTATCACTACGCTTAGAAACTTGTTGCTAAACTGAGGCAATTTCAACCAGTGTAAATGGCTGAAATTAGGCAATTCTAGCATGTTCAAGTTGCTGAATCGAGCATATCACAATTACTCCATCAAACATACAACGATCATGTCCTTGAGTTGTTCTCATAACAGTTTACGTGCTCGTCGGTTGATTGCAAAGCCCCAATTTTAATGCACAGTGGTGCAAAACCAACACCCAGAAAGGACAGATCCGAGACCGATTCAACAAAACAACCCGTCGATCATGCCGGTCGATCAACAAGAGGAAAACATCCTAGATCACCATCAAGAAAGGGAAAGGAACAAGGGCCTTTCTAGCCCGAACCACGTCACTACTCGAAGTAGGGCTGCACCGCTACACAAAGTAGGGGCCTTCCCTAGTACACCAAAGTAGGAGGGAATGTGTTTCAATTCCATAAATCAAAATAACATCAATAACTGCATCTGTACAGTACATTTAAACCCACTTGTGGGCCCTTGATATTGACCAAAATACACCCTTATACCCTATTCCTCATACAATTAAATTAGCATGCGTGAAACCTAGTTCCCATTTTGCAAGTTCTTATTCATTTAACCAAATTCTCATGCAAAATAATAAATACCATAGATAACCCAAAAAAGATGATAATCATGGGCCACCCTTTCATTAAATTGAGATACAATGTCAAGTTTCCTTATGAAAATAGTATCCCCCATATAATTAAAGTTCATAGCAGAACCCTCTCAATCAATCCAATGTGATAAATATCCAATAATTTTAATAGTTGGTTGTACATTATGCCCAAGAAGAGCGGATTTTATTGTCGACGCTGGTAGAAATGAAATTGAAATGAATGAAAATCATCTACTTAGTAACAAACAAAGGAAAGCAGAATTTGATCTTCAACTAGGAAAAATGAAAAGGCATAAATCCATGCCAGTTGAAATGCATGAAAATCATCTACTTAGTCACAAACAAAAGAAAAAACAACTAATCGTCAACCAGAAAAAATGAAAAGGCAATAAATCCAAGCCAATTTTAAAAGCAAGTACTATGGACTAAGCCTCTTTAATTTGTGCATTCATCTGTTGCAAGGCCTTTTTCATTTTGATGAGTGTTACTATTAGGGGAGTTTTGATAAAAAATAAATACACAATATATTTTTCTTAGATACTAATTAACTTGGAAATGCATGTGCACCTCTATCCTCATACCATCAATTCAAGACAATTAAATTCGATATGTATAAAATCCAAAGGATAATTTTGATTCAAATTAAAGCTCCCAAAAGATGACCAATGTAAACCAAAATTTTTAACTTACCGCACTCGACTTTAGTTCCTAACCAGCACATGTATTGCACCCTTCACTTCTCCCTTTCCCTAAAATCTCTCCATATGTGGGTGGGGTTACATAGAAAGCTTTCCCATATGCATATCTCCATACCTCATAATTAGGTTGTTCTTGTTGTTGGACACCAAAAACGTCACCATATAGTGGGCGTCTGAACTACAGAATAAAAATTTCACAGAAGCGGTCACAAAAGAATAAACAATCGCACAGAAGAAGAATCCATACAAAATATTATAAAGACTATGATAGCTTGAATGCAAGAATCATAGGAAACTTACTTCATCAACAGGAGGCTTGCCCCAACCACTAGGATGATAACCAAAGCTAGCACCAGGTGGAATAGGAGCATGCGAGCCAGGAAATCCACTTGAAAAACTATATCACGCATTGCAGCTACATTGCTCAAGCAATCCATCTCACATGTCTACACATTACAATATGAGATCAGATTTTTTAGGACATGAACGTCCATTAATGAAGAGAAAATAGAAAAGTTTAGATACCATATACAGATTGCATTTTTTTTGCAAGTTAGCAAATGTGTATTTCACAATATAAAAGACTTTCAAAATGAGTACTATAGCAGATGGCCAAATGCCCAGAGGCCTAAACCATGAGAGAGAGAGAGAGAGAGAGAAAGAGAGAGTCTTCACCATGACATCTACAATTATTTTTAACAAAAATAGAATAAAAAAGAAAAGAATATGCAGCTCTCCAAATTTAACAATGCTTAATAACATAAAACATCACACCTACAATTACAAGGCAAAAAAAAAGAGCAGGCATAAACCATAGGAAACACAAGTGCGGCGTAAGTAATTTTGTTTATCCTTCCTATTTTGGGGGTTGCTTTCATTGGACCAGTGCATGTAGTACTCTCCAACTAGTACATCTCTAAATAATTCTTCATTCATTTATCCTTTTTCCTTTTCTCTCCCTTGAAAATAGCCAAGAAAGGGTACTAAATAGGACACTGCAGATACACCATAAAAGGACTTTGATTAAGGTCGCAGAAAAAAAAGAGGCAAAATATGAGCATGACATGTTTCTAGCATACAATGCTCATAAAGAATATCATTTTCAAATAAAGATAATTTGAAAGACAAGAAAACAACACAAATGTTGTGGTATATCAAAAATGTAGTGAACGAAAATACTCTTCATGA